AGTTCAAGTGGCGTGGTCTTCGCTTTTCATAAAGAACTTCAAATATTACATTGAAGACAATTTTACCAATTACGAATATTAGATGCGAACACTTACTCAAACGGTTGCTATTTAAAGTACAGCTCTTAATGTCAGTTTTTTTGTGTTTTCCTTTTTATTCTACGCCACAATCAAAACTTAAGGTCTTGCTTGTTTTCTTAAGGTCATATATGTTAAGTTTTACAATTTACCATAACCTTCTTCGGTAATGTATGAAAAAACAATATAATAATAATTATTATTATAATTGTTCAAATTTTACAAATAGCTTGTAATAAATTTTAAAATAATGAAATTAAACATCTCTCATCATCTGCATTGTAGAAGTCACGTTAACAGAATATTACTGGATAAAATCGTGACTTTACGGTGTATGGGTTATTCAAAAAAAATATTTTAAGTGCGTATAGCAATTAAAGTCAGTGATTTTTATATTGTAAAATTAAACACTGTTGTAAATAAGATTATATATGGTTCTAAATTATTAAGCTATGGACCGATGTATACTTTACTTAGTTGAATATATTACCTATTGTATAGTAAAACAATAAAAAATATATATAAAAACTATCTTTCTTGCGATTAGGTTGAATTGTGGTGTTTAAGAAAATATAAAAGCAGTAAATTATGTTGTGGTACGGAACTCTGTTCTCATGAGTCTCACTCGCACTTATCGAAGTTTTACCTTTAATCTGTCAGTGTAGTCAATTCGAGAGAAAATTACCACTGACTTGGAATGCAATTATAGGAAGACAGTGAAAAACTCACCAGTAGCTTTTAAAGTTTTAATAAGTTACATAAAAAATATTATTTAATGTAATAAATTGGTATGGGGCGTTTAGGAAATTAATCCGATATCAATTTTAAGAAATATTACATTTTATAAGTCATATACATACATGCCTAATTATGTAGAATGAATTATTACTAATTGCAATATTTTATATAGAGCAGGTCTAAACGATAAAAGCTTCTAATAAGATAACAAGTCACGTTATTTCATTATTGTTTTTAACAATGATAAGACCGGACGTTTTTCTACCAAAGAATCGGCATTGCGATTCAACAGAGTAGCGTTGCAGGTAGCGTTCTGTGAATGTTTAATTTATCAATTACATATTATATTTATTTCTACAAATAACTGATAGTTCTTATAAATATTTAATAAATAATAGTACCTAGCAGTTTTCTTAAATCTGAAATTAAAGATTTTTATGCTTAATTACAAATTTTTTTTTAAGGATTCCAAGTTATTTTTATGCATATTATTTTTATTTTTGTTAATTTTATACAAGATAACTTCCATTACCTATGCTAATGACCTATTAATAAATGGTATATTGCAAGATGTTTATAAAACTTCCTATTTTTCTATAGACAACGAGTTAGTTAATAATAATATTATAAAGTTTAATTTAAAATATACATAAATTATATTTATCTCACTCCAAAACTCCATCCTTATATTTGTTTAATCACTATACATAAAAATATATGATTGTTTTATTATAATACACACAAGTATCAGTATCAAAGTAGACAGGGTTAATTAAATTAAATAATGTTAAGGTCGAGGTCACTGTGTTACGAATGCATGTGTTCTGCATAAAGAAATCACGCAAACTAGAATTCCTACAATAACCTCCATACCACCAGGCATTGATACCACTCCCATCATCATTAATTTTTACACGCGAAAGCATCGGAACGGTACACTTACATGCGAACTAATTAATATGCACTCATATGTAATTACAGTTTTACAATTAAAATATTGTTTCTGGAACGTATAATTTAAATACACGTGGACAAAAAAGTTCTAGTTCAAACAAGTGTTTGTTATTATTTAGTTAGTTTTACAACAAAGTATACCTACCTGCGTTTTACTAAACAAAATAATCGAACGATCAGTTACTTACTGTTACCTAAAGCTTATTAGCTTCATCGTAGGTTATATAAAAGTAAGAAGATTATAGGGAGGGTGGATGAATGGGCAGCTTAAATTTAATTAAAAGCGCATCTATCTTACAGACTCGTCTTAATCAATTCTAAAGCAAGCGAATTCCCTCTTGGAATGAATGGTGAAAGCTTACAAGGACAAACGATCGAATGGCTAGTTAAAGTGCCTGTAACTACGCAATGGTGATTGCCAGTTAGATTTACACTAAGAGCCCAAATTAACATTTAATTACTCTCGCCTTGTCCTTTCTTAGTCCAATTTGAAGAGTTGTCAATAAAAAGATTAAACTATATTATTATTTAACAGAAATTTCAAACGTTGTTTAGTCCAGAGACTCTCACGACTCACGATACTCAGACTATATTATCCTAGTTCGACGCGTGCAAACCTACGCATATTGCGAAGGTAATTGTCCATAATGCTACCACAATTACCAATAGAAAGTACCACCTTGCGAGCAGAAAATTGTTTGTTGTTGATCAAGTGGCTATTTATTCCTCATTTATGGTTATTTCATTTCAGAAAAAAATACCTTCAAATTAAATCTTCGTCCATGCAGAGTTATAGAAAGAAAATATGGTAACATAATTATGGCATAGAGCACAATTTATTACTTTTGTATAGGACTAGCGATTTACCCTCGCTTCGCTCGAATGGCGTCCGTGGGTACGTATTTTTTTTCGCAAAACCTTAATTCTTTTTTTAAATAAAAGTAGCTTAAGTTACTCCTTATAACATCAGCTATCGGCCAGTGAAAGTCCCGTCAAAATCACTCCAGCCGTTTCGGAGATTAGCTGAGAGACAGACATACAGACCGTCTTATACACAAACAAAAATTTAAGAAGTTGTGTTTTTCTTATAAATACCGTATATAATTTAAAATGCATTTAGCAAAAAGCTGTTATTTTGAAATTACAAACAGGCACTTCAATTTTATTTATCTCTATATAGATTTTACGGCTATTAGATTTTACGTATCTATTTGTAATCTCTAAGAGAGCATTTTTATGTTATGAGGGAATTTTTAACACGGCCATTTAAGAAAGGGAGTAAATCTTACAATAAGAAAATACCTAAGCATAAAGTGAATATATGCAAAGCAAATTCTCATGTATAAATGTGGCATTTTAACAAGATTTCCGCGGAAAACATCACTGCTTTAAAGTAGGAAACTGTTCATTATACGGCTGATGAGGTTAGACATCGGTGTCACTCAATCAGGTCTAATTATATTACATGCACCGTTGTGTATGGATGCTTCTCATCGCGCCACGGTTTGATGTGCAGTTATGAGTACAATTGTATAATAATTATTACACTTGTTGATTTTAACTAGTTAAGTAAATTTTAGATATGATAACACATACACAGTAGGATGCTTTGGGTGAGTAATAGGTAGGCCCAAAAATAACACAAATTACGAACTTAATGACCTAAAAATTTGCATGAAAACAATATTAAAAAAACAGGCCGGCGAAGACGTGCAAGTCGGTTTTTTTCCGAGTTTCATTAAGAGATGCGCTAAAGATTTTTCTCGTAAAATAACCTTTGTAGCTCCAAGGGAACTAGAAAGTTTTTAGCTATTAGAATAAAACTTTATCTCTATACTAGCATTGCCCGCGGTTCCCCCGCGTTCAGATGACCAAAATCCAAATTCTTAGGTTTTACATATTAGAATATTCTCACAATGCATCTTTTGTATTTTTTCTCAGAAATGAGATATTTTACCGCGGGAAAAAGTATCCTATATGTTGACCCGGATTACCAGCTATCATCGTACCAAATTTCATCAAAATCTGTCCAGTGGGTTTCTCGTGATGCGGTAACAGACAGACAGACAGACAAAAATTCTAAAAACTATAGATACGGTCTCTGTTTCGATTATAATGTCTATTTCAATTAGATTTTCCAAAAAATATTTAATGTACAGATTCGACTTAGTTACAATTTTATTATATGTATAGATTTGTGTAAATAGTAAATCTGCTCGTACTGTCTCTGTTTGACCAAACCACCACTTTAAGAAACTTTTATAAGCCTCTAGTTACCTGGAAAGTATATCTGGAAAATGCTACTGTTATTTTTATTAAATATTCCCACACATTAAAAATTAGTAACAAATATTTTATTGTAGCGATTTGTTGAAATGGATTACAAGAGAACCCTCAGTATGAAAACCCTATGTTCAATTGCTTGCCAATTATTTTATCGATAATATTTGCTAAGTTTATAATTTTTTTTTATAAATTATAAAATTATTTAAGCTAGTAAAGTAAAGACTCATCTGCTCCTGATTTTCATATATAGTGAACGCAAAGAAAATCATTCCTCTTATTTAGAATTTGGGTAAACCTACTTATTGTTGCATTTATAATTTGTTATAAATATATTAAGACTGCGCTGTATAAATAAAACCGTAACTGCTTGGGTTATTGTTTTAAGGTGTCTATCCATACTTACTAATATTATGATGATGAAAGTGCGTTTGTTTCTTTGTTTGTTTGTTTGTCCTAATTTCACGTTAAAACAAAGTAACGGATTGGAATATTTTTTTGTGTGGAGATAGTTGGAGGGCTGGAGAGTGAAATAGGCCACTTATTTACTTTTTACCTGGGAAGATAATCTCATTCCCACAGGATAACACGTTATAATACAACCCAAGCTAATATTAATAATCAGAATTACTTTAAACTTTGTATTAATGCTTTTCAATAAAATTAAATAAATACGTGTTTTAACATTTTTCGAAATTTATTCTATAAGGGGGTAAAATAGGGGATGAAAGTTTGTATGAAACGTACCTTTTCAGAGATTTTTGTAGTCAGCGCGAGCGGAGCCGCGGGTTCTGCTAGTATTATATAAATGGGTAAAGTTTAATCCACAGAAAACGGATTTGACTCCATCTGTTACTCCTATATTGAGCGGTAACCATAAACACGTTATACTTAAATTATCCTCACTCATCAATGATTAACAAATTTGCTTCCATCTTTTGTTACAGTGGGGACGCCGAGTACATCACCACTAATTACAACATGCGTAACAACGTCAAGTAAGTTCAATTCCTTATTGTATCATATATTAATTGTATTAAATTTTATTTGTTTTAAATATAAAATAACATGACAGTTATTACTCCATGTTAATTTAGTGCCTTCGAAATAACTAGTTAAACATAATTAAACATACCTATTTATGACAAAAACATCAATATGAGATATTATATCTTACTTTGCGTGAAGTTTTTAACAGAACGTGAGTTCTCTTGGTTTTATATAATCTTATCAATATGGCGCATTTGAACGTGAAAGATACTTAATTTAAAAATAAGTAAATGTAGGCTTTATAAATTATATCTATTTAAAATGTATAATTAATTTCTTTATATCTAAATTATTTTTTGAATATTATCATACTTGTGTCAGTAGAGCAAATGCATAACTTTAAGTAAAATTTCATCACTTTTACTATTAAATAAGGTCTGAAACAAACAAACTAGTATAAGATGCAATTTATAAGTACGGAAAGCAAACAAGATTTAAGCCAGCCGTTGGCAATAATATCCGCCCGTGTTAAACGCCGCAATATCTTCTGCGCCCTATTCAATTGACTACCTTTATATAAGTTTTATATATTTTCGCAGTGTCACTAAGGGTAAATATTTAGTAGGTAGTAGGTTTTGGTATTAAATAACCGCTTTCTTATTCAAATGCTTACATTTTGTGACTAGTACATAAATAATGATATAGGTAGAGCAGCGAAAATCTAATTAATTGGATTTTTAAGCTAAATTTGATGTGAAGATTATTTTACATAATTTAGTGTTAATTATATAAAAACGATTCTTTAATAATGGCTAATATGGTGAATGAAAACAATACAAGGGAAACTTGTCACAGAGGCCCTAAATAGTTTCATAAAAGACATATGAAGTCCCTTAACATGCATTAGTCAGGTAGATTTTCCCCCTCGTATTGAGAGGACGCAAGTGCCTAGCAGTGTGATGTTAATGAGGATAGAATTATTATACTGTATCGCTCTTTTAATTTTCACGGGCTCTAAAGAGTTTGGTCCTTTGGAAAGTCCCAGACATAGAGGTCACGTGTTAGACTTGTGTCCCTACGCAAGCTCTATGAGTTTGTTTGTTTAGCGTGACACATCAGCCGGGATCCATCTTTCAGTAAGCCATAGCGAATTTCCCAAAGATAGCTAATTCGTAATCTGGATGATTTAAAGCATTGGGCTATTGAATGAGATAAATGATCTGCCTGTCCGCCTTTTTAAGTCTCAAAACGAATATTTGGCGAACTGTGATTCATCTCCCAGTCAGAACATACGTGGCGAGGACAAATGTTGTTCCTCTGAAGATCTCACTGTGGTGTCACCACTCATAAACTACGAAAAGTTATCAAATATTTTAGCACTTTAGTTCAACGATTATTAAGCTCTTCCTAACTCATACTTAATATTATAAATGTGAAAGTGTGTTTGTTTGTCTTTCTTTAACGTCGAAACTTGGCGGATTGGCGTGATTTTTTGTGTGGAGATAGTTGGAAGGTTGGAGAGTGACATAGGCTACTTTTTACCGCGGGAGATTATCTCTTTTCCACGGAAAAACACGTTATAACACAATTCAAAAAAATATTTTTGATCAGAATTATTTGAAACTTGGTATAAATGCTTTTCAATACAATTAATTAAATACGTGTTTTAGCATTTTTCGAAATTCATCTCATAACGGTATAAAATAGCGTATGAAAGTTTGTGTGAAACCTTCCATTTTAGAGTTCTTTTTTGTAGTTTTAGCGCGAGCGAAGCAGCCGCGAGTTCTGCTAGTATTTTATAAAATTCCTTCTATAGTCATATGAGTTTATTTCAATATAAACATTAAAAACATAATATATTATATTACAATAAAAGTACAATATTTATAAACGTTTGTAGTGTTAGACGTAGCAATAGTGATACGTAAATATAAATATTATTTAATATGTATAATAACAGCACAATGCATATGATTCCAGGCAAAAGACCATAATATTTAGTACTATCTCGTGATTTAATATATTCGATTCATAATACATATAACGTTAAAAAGGTACATAAAATCAAATAGGTGGTATACAGGCTCGAAGCACGTATTTGATCCACAATTCCCAGCCAATCTTTATTAACTCAATAAGTATTCTCTAAAGTAATATAATTTGCATTTAGATCACTTGCAAACCGTAAAGATTGCCTTCTAAAGTGCCTTTCGCTTCTACAATTTGCTATCTTTCGTCGTTTCATAATTTTTAATTCTAATTAAATTGGTTAGGTATATTTTTTGTTCGATTTAATCACTCGCAATCAAATTAAAACACTACAAATGTGATTTATTGACCAACAACAACATGTTAATCTCCTTCGTGTCCTCTCCATTCTACGTGATATTGGTGAAGTAATCTGTGCACAACTGGCACGCTTAGAAGTCATTAATTCAAAAGATAAGAGAATTGAATTGAACAACTTATTACAATTACGGGAAAGACAGACAGCAACTTTGTCGGTAGTCTTAATAAAAGTTACATAGTACCACGAATTTTTATTTTCAGTGCAAAGTACCTACTTAGTATATTATAATCTGTGTTATTAGAGACAAAACATTTTGTTTTGAATGTGCGAACGTCCGTCGGTATCTACCTACTGTAAGAAAAATGAATAAAAAGCTACTCTGTCACATTACAAATTCAAATAAGCTAATGTTTAAAAGAATCCAAAACGTCATGAAAAATTTAATAAAACATTTTATCTTAGGTACTCGTACTGCGTATAGTTTCTGCCGATTCACTAGATGCTAACTAAATATATGAGAAAACCAAACATTGATTACGTCATACAATAACTATCAAGTACGTAATTTAAATACACCATAATATATAATACACTATATTTGCATAAATATGTTTAATAATCGCTGAGGGATACTTACTTAACTAAGAGACAGTTGGGCTTTAGTTTTATTATATTGTACTAGCATTGCCCGCGGCTTCGCCCGCGTTCAGGTGACCAAAAACCAAATTCTTAGGTTTTACGTATTAGTAGTATACTCTTACATTGCAGTTTTTGCATTTTTTCTCAGAAATGGGATATTTTTCCGCGGTAAAAAGTATCCTATAATATGTTGACCCGGATAACCAGCTATCACCATACCAAATTTCATCAAAATCCCTCCAGTGGTTTTACTGTGATGTGGTAACAGACAGACAGAAAAAAATTCTAAAAACTATATATTTGGCCTCTGCATCGATAATAATGTCTATTTGAATAAGATTTTCCAAAAAATATTTAATGTACAGATCGGCTTAGTTACAATTTTATTATATGCATAGATTATTTGAATATGTATATTGATAGAGAAGATTTCTTCTGTAAAACGGTTCTTTATGAGATAGGTGTTGTAAAACGCCAATATATTTTGGTTTAGTTAATGATAAAACAACAGTTAGATACATATATTACCAAGAATAAGTATATCTGATCTAACTGTTTAATGAATTAATCTAAAGAAATAATTGTTATAAATGTCTTTATTACATAAGATTTAAACATAAAATAAATAAAAGTTAAGTTAAAAGATAAGTTGTAAATCGCACAGAAATAACCAACTCTAGACCAACGCCAAGTTATTGTTTTTCTGAAAGAATTAACCTAATACATAAATAATAATTAATATTATAATAGGGGGTTTCCCAATAAACGGAACATAGTGCACGATCACATCGCGAGTAATTATCACCGTTTAAGTACGATAAAGGTTTTCTACATCGTCCGTAAAGTAAAATTACAAACGTAGTTGGTTAGGAGATATTCTTTTAAATTTTTATTATCTCAGCTAATCATCTTTATAGTGCTAGCCAAGTAAAATATTTCAGATGCAAATGATATCGCACTATCCATACTTAATATTATAAATGTGAAAGTGTGTTTGTTTGTTTGTTTGTTTGTTTGTTTGTTTGTTTGTTTGTTTGTTTGTTTGTTTGTTTGTTTGTTTGTCCTTCTTTCACGTCGAAACGGAGAGACAGATTGGTGTGATTTTTTGAGATAGTTGGAGGGCTGGAGAGTGACATAGGCTTCTTACGACCTTATCTCATTTCCAAGGGAAAACACGTTATAATACAACCATTTATGATCAGAATTACTTGAAACTTGGTATTAATGCTCTTCAATATAATTAAATAAATACGTGTTATTATAGCATTTACAAAAAATCATTCCATAAGATGATAAAATTTGGGATGAAAGTTTGTATGAAACCTACCTTTTTAGATTTTGTAGTTTTAGCGCCAGCGAAGCCGCGGGTTCTACTTGTTACTATTATAAATGTGAAAGTTTGTATATGTGTGTTTATTTTTGTTGCCCATTCAAGCTGAAATGGTTGGATAGATTTTAATAAAATTTACACATATTGATATATTCACAGATAAACTGTAACCTGGAGTTATACATAAGTAGGCTAGATAGGTAGGTAGCGTATGTGTTAGGCGCCTCGGAACACACCTAAGCGAAGCGAAAGTATGTCACTAGTTGAAAATACATGTCAATCTCAAAAAGTATGTTAGTAACGCCACCACCGGACACCATCGTTGAGACATGATAACGAATGGTCATTATCTACTTCGCCATAGATAGTAGCTTTGAATCGCGGAAGAAGCGAATATTTTGTATGGATGATTTTTTGTCTTAAGTTCCGCTGAAGATCAAGCGCGGCTTTGCTCTTATTTTTCTTTGCTACGTTTATAGTGTCTCTATGTAAAAACTATGTTCATCGGACGTATTTTTGTATCTTATGGCAGTAATAACTATTAGTAATCGATTTAAATTTGTAATTTGAACCGGTTGGTTACTAATAGTTTAAGTTTAAGGATAAATTTACAACTAATTGAAATATACTAAAAAATAAACGACTAAAAAATATGAGCGTTCTCCAACGAACAACAAACGTGATCTTTATAGTTTTGTTTTTGCTCTATCATTTAATTATAAATGGAAATAAAAGCGTTAAAAGTGTTG